TTAAATGATGATGCAATGTCATCATTGTGGGAAGAGTTTAGAACTATCCAAACAACTTATTCTTTAGTTAAAGGAGAAAACAGTAAGCTAAAAATAGAACTCTCTAACTTAAGAAAAGAGACTGAGGTAAAAGTCAATCTCTTAACTAAGGAAAGGGACTCTGTCAAAGCTGAAAATGTTTCTCTTCTCGACAGAATAAGAGATATTCAGCATTTGGAAGTCAGATTTAACAGTCGTATGAAAATGCAAACTTCTCTTAAGGCTGTTAATGTTGATCAAATGCTACCCTCCGGTTCTGGTCTTGGATATGTTGCAACAGAATCCGGTGAGCCTTCTATAAAACCTAGCACCAAAGTTGTTAAGGTTGATAAGGTCATAGATCCACGGACTTCTAGCCCCATTTGTCATGCTGGTGTATCTGGCACCAAGGTTATTCATGAGAAAGTCAGACCAGAAAAGGAAGATATAAAGGTTCAACAGAAACCCATTTTAAAAATTAATGAACCTGGCAGAAAACCTAACAACAGAAAGGGTTTTCAGAATACCAAAAATCAAAGACAAACCCATAACAGACAAACTCATGATAACCGTGTCAGAGATGATCACCAGAAAGGCAGATATCAAGAGAAAGTTAACTTTAGGCAGAAAAGGTTGGCTGGTCAACTTAAGAAGCCCAAAGTTAACCGCCCCTCTGCTCTTGATAGTATATGGGACTTCTTCCCTACCAAGAAGGCTATGCAGAAGTATGTAAACCGGAAGCATGATCCTCACAAGCATCTGCCCAAAGTGAATCACACTTCGGTTTACTATGACTACCAGGTGGACAATGGGTACCACCCACCAAGGTTTCACTTGATGAGACAAAAGTGGTACCGGCTGCCAAGACTGCATGACCCCCTAGGACCCAACATTGCTTGGGTACCTAAATCTTTCTTTTAATTTTACAGGAACTGTGTGCTGGAGCTATCTCTGAACAAGAATGGTTTATTGATAGTGGATGCTCCAGGCACATGACAGGTGACAGAAGTTGCCTAACGTTACCTTTGGAGGTAATGACAAAGAAGGTCAAACAAAAGGAAGAGGAAAGCTGATCAAGGACCAGATAATCATTGATGATGTCTCATATGTCAAAGGCCTGAAGTTCAATCTTCTAAGTGCTAGCCAATTCTGTGACAAAGGCTACACTGTAGAATTCACCAAGGACTTTTGCTATGTAAAACATGAGACAACAAAGGAAGTGGTTCTGACTGCATCAAGAAAGAAGAACATTTATGTAGTTGATTGGAAGACTGCCAAAGATGGTGTGTGCTTGATAGCAAAAGGAGATTCAAAGTTAAGCTGGGACTGGCACAAAAAGCTCAACCATTTGAATTTCAAGACAATCAACAAACTGGCCAGAGAACACATTGTAGAAGGGCTACCAGACATTGTGTAAGAGAAGGAGACCCTCTGCAGAGCATGTCAGAAGGGCAAACAAGTGAAGAATTCCTTCAAACCTATTGTTGGAGATCTTTCTACTAGTCCTTTAAATCTGATCCACATGGATTTATTTGGACCAGTTGAAACTCCGAGTGTAAGTGGCAAAAGATACACACTTGTCATGGTGGATGACTATTCCAGATACACACGGACTATCTTTCTAACAAAGAAGAATGAAACTCTTCAGAAGTTGCCCTCTTTGTTAAAGCAACTTCAGACTGAGAAGAATTTGAAAGTGAAGACAATCAGATCAGACAGAGGAACTGAATTTGTCAACCAAGTCATAAAGGACTTCTGTGATCAGAATGGAACTTTTCATCAACTTTCTGCCGCCAGAACCCCTCAACAGAATGGCGTAGCAGAAAGAAGGAACAGAACCTTGAAAGAAGCTGCAAGAACAATGATTGCAGAATCTGGACTACCAATGAGATACTGGGCTGAAGCAATCAACACTGCATGCTACACCCAGAACAGAAGCATGATCAACAAGAATCACAAGAAGACTCCTTATGAACTTTGGAAAGGAAGGAAACCAAACATCAGCTACTTTCATGTGTTCGGTTGCAAATGCTACATTCTCAACAATGGAAAGGAACATCTGAAGGTCTTTCAAGAGAAAGCTGATGAAGGAGTATTCATAGGCTACTCAAGTACTAGCAAAGCCTATAGAGTACTCAACAGAAGAACTCTACATGTAGAAGAATCCATACATGTAATATTTGATGATAGCACATCTGTTGAAGATGTGACAGATACCCTCAAAGAAGTCAACATCGAAGACAGAATACCTGAACCGACAGAAGAGGTTGCAGTTAATCCAGTGTTTCCAATACTTGCACCAAACCCCCTTCTGTTGAATGAAGATGAAGACTCTGAAGATGAGGAACCAGAGAGACCAAGACAGCAGCTGACAGAACCTGATCTAACATGGTTAAGAGATCATCCCCCTGACCAAGTGATTGGTCAAATCAGAAGTGGAGTTCAAACCAGATCCACATCAAGAAGAGAAGCAATGTTTGCCTGCTATATATCTCAAATGGAACCTATGACTGTGGAAGAAGCTCTTGCAGACTCAGACTGGATCAATGCAATGCAAGAGGAACTTACTCAATTTGAAAGGAATAAAGTGTGGGAACTTGTTCCTAGACCAAAGCACCAGAATGTCATTGGAACCAAATGGGTGTTCAAGAACAAAGCAGATGAAGATGGCAACATTGTAAGGAATAAAGCTAGGTTGGTAGCCAAGGGATACTGCCAAGAAGAAGGAATTGATTTTGATGAGACCTTTGCACCAGTTGCCAGACTAGAAGCCATCAGAATCTTTTTAGCCTATGCTGCCTACAACAACATCAAGGTCTACCAGATGGATGTCAAGAGTGCTTTCTTGAATGGAGATCTTGAAGAAGAAGTCTATGTGGAACAACCTCCAGGTTTTGTCATTCCTACTCAATCCTCTTGTGTCTACAAGCTTAAAAAGGCCCTATATGGCCTTAAGCAAGCTCCCAGAGCATGGTATGACACATTGTCTCTTTTCCTAGTGAACCATGGGTTTACCAAGGGAAAGGTTGACAAAACTCTATTTCAAATCTCTGTTGCTAATCACATTCTGTTAGTACAAATATATGTTGATGACATTATATTTGGTAGCACTAACCCAGAATTATGCAAGAAATTTTCTCAAGTGATGCAGAGTCAATTTGAAATGAGTATGATGGGAGAACTAAGCTATTTCCTAGGACTACAAGTGAAACAAGTTCCAGAAGGAATCTTTATCAATCAAGGGAAATACACCAGAGACTTGATCAAGAAGTTTGGAGTGGAAGGCAAATCATCAGTGAAGATTCCCATGAACATTTCTCAAGGAATTGGACCAGATGATGAAGGAAAGGATGTAGATGCTACAACATACAGAGGAATAATAGGATCTCTGTTGTATCTGACTGCAAGCAGACCAGACATATCATTCTCTGTTGGAATCTGTGCCAGATACCAATCAAAGCCCAAGGAGAGCCATCTAAGTGCTGCAAAAAGAATCATCAGATATATCAAAGGAAATCCAAATGCAGGCCTATGGTATCCCAAGGGAGGTAACTTTGAACTAATTGGTTACTCTGACTCAGATTTTGTAGGTTGCAGACTAGACAGAAAGAGCACCTCTGGTCACTGCCAATTGCTAGGAGGAAGACTTGTTTCCTGGTTTAGCAAGAAGCAGAATTCTATCTCAACAAGTACAGCTGAAGCTGAGTACATTGCAGCTGGGAGTTGCTGTGCTCAGTTACTCTGGATGAAGCAACAACTGAAGGACTATGGAATTCAAGCAAAGGAGATCAAGCTGTTGTGTGACAACACCAGTGCCATTGCTATCACTCAGAATCCAGTTCTTCATTCCAGGACAAAGCATATTGAGATCAGACATCACTTCATCAGAGATCATGTTGAGAAGAAGCACATATGCATGGAGCATGTGTCAACAGAAGACCAGCTAGCAGACATTCTAACCAAGCCTTTACCTGAGGCTAGGTTCAACAATCTAAGAGAGGAATTGGGAATGATGGATGATATTCCAAGAGAAAATTGAAAGGAAGACTCTCTGTTGCAGATTCTCTGTCAACAGAACCCCTGTGCAGAACCCCTTCTGTTCTACATCTCGAACAGAGAACCTCAGTGCACATCAGAACATCATCAACAACAGACCTTCTTACTTATCCAACAGAAGGTTGTGGACTTAGAAATATTTCGAGGAACGGGTGACCTAGTAACTTATTAAAGGTCTTTTACCCCTTTACCCTTAAAACGGCTTTATAGCCGCATTATACTTACTGCGCCCCCTTTCGCATTAAATTGAAACCTCGAAACTGCCAATAATCTCAAACGTCCATTAACCCAAACCCATATATACCATTTTCTCTAAACTAAACCGCTACTGCTTCCTTTACTCTCAAACCTTCAAAATCTCAAATCTCTCTAGCTCTCAAACTCTCAGAACTTTCAGAAATGGCTTTCATCAACATGAACGACCTCACCCAAGCAGAAATTGAACTTCTCGTCAAGAACATCTACACCGGGATGAACTGCGACCTCTCCGCACTCCCAGAACTGGCCGCCAATCATGAAACCATGGAGAAAATAATCCAGGGGATGAAGGATTCCCAGCTGGATAAAGTGGTGCGATTCCACTTCAACTCCTACAGCACAAGGGATGTAGCAGAGTTCTACCTCAACGCTACATATGAAGGCGAGACCATTAGGTCTAAGGTCAACGGGCACTAGTACAAAAAGACCTTTTTACATCATGCTTTTCACAAGTGTTCTTACATCGGTTGCTCTTCTAATCGATCTGAAATGTAAATTCGGGGTATATTTTACAATTTAACAAACTATTCTACCTCGGTTATAGTATTGCCCGATGTTAACAAAAAAATGGGGTACTTTTTATAAATATTGGGATTTACTTTTCACATGGGTTATACTCGTGTCCGATTTTGAAGTTGTTTAAAAAAATTAAGTAGTGCGGAGTATTTGAGATCTCAGCATCTCACGCTTCACCAAGTAGGTCACTCTTTCCAGATCTCGTATTTACTCCTCCGGTATTTGAAACACTGCTGAACTGGAGAAGCACCGCCAAACTGGAGAAAAACCACCGAATTGGAAAATCATCGTTGGGGCGCCGACCAGCAGAAGCACCATGTTCCACCGATGAACACCATCGACCTCGACGACTCCATCTAATCATACTAATGAGTGGTTAGAAAGGAGCGGAAGACTGGAAGCTGCATCGTCGTCGTCAGGTAAACTTCGGCCTCGCCCGAAGCTCCGTTATCTCCGTCCTACGCATTGACTGGTCAGAAATCTGACCACCACTCCAAGGCTCTGTCACAGACATTGGTCTCCGCCAGGATGACCATCACCACCGCCAGAATCAAAGTAATCAATTAGATGCTTGCCATGCTCAACCCTTGCAATTCCCTAATGAATTACCGAGTACGTACTTCGCATTTTTGTACTTTTGTCCATGTTTCTTCTCGTGGTAAGTAACACTTTTTCCCCACTATATTGAAAGGAACTTGAAACGTAGCTATGATGTTCGATAAAATTCCTCAAAGAAGTAATGCAAACTTCTTTCATTTACTATAAATTTATTTCATTCAGTAGAAATTTATTTCATTTACTTTATTTGTCTTAAAAAAGAGTTGATAGCTATAAGTTTGTCTGTTTCTATATCTTCTGTTGATGAATATATATGACGACTACCTTGTTGATGGATAGTAATGTTATAGTTTTAGGAAATTCAATACTTAAGAAAAAAATTGCTCCAGCTCTGTGTCTCTGAATATCAGCTCTTTTTGTTTTCTTCTCCAAAACTTGCCTCATTTTTTGTTCTCTTTCCATCTTTTCCTGTCCACAGCTTGCCTTCATTTGTTGTCTTTGGTATCTATATTACGCAAGTCCGCATAATTTGATTCTAGATTTGGCGTTGCATATTTGATTTACCAGAGATCAGGAGGTGTTTCCCAAAATTTTCGATTCCTTTCTATATGCTCGATGGCACAGGAATTAGGGTTCAAAGTGGGTCAATGACAGTTTGATTTGAGAAGACAGCAGAAATGCTATATGCTGAAAGAGTCTACGGGTATGACGCGTGCCTTCGCTCGTATGCACTGGTGGGTGGATTGAGCATTTGAAGTTTTGAATGCATGAGTAATTGATTCCCGGGCAAGGCGGCTGGCTTGGGATTCATTTATTTTATTAGCGAGGATCTGATCAACTGCCAATGGCTGCGTCAGGGAACGCTTCACCGCCGCAACCCCATTTTCTCAATGGGCTTCAGCCGGAACAGTCTTCACCTCCAGATGGCGTTATGGATAAATTTAGACTATATGAAACTCGCGCGAATTTTTACCTAATAGGGAGGAATAAGAGTAGAACATACTGGCGAGTTTTGAAAATTGACGGGATGGAGCCTTCTGAGCTTAACGTCCGTGAAGATTCAACGACTTACACAGCAAGTGAGTGCTCTGATTTGTTGAAGAGAATACATGAAGGAAACAGATCCACGGGGGGATTGAAGCTTGTCACCACGTGTTATGGAATTGTTGGTTTTATAAAGTTTTTGGGTCCTTATTATATGGTGCTTATTACCAAGAGGAAGCAGATCGGTGACATCTGTGGTCATACCATATATGCAATCTCTAAGAGTGAGATAATCCCACTTCTAAGTTCTTCTGTTCAGTCAAAGATGGCTAATTATAAAAGTGAATGCAGATATAAGAAGCTCATGTGTATGGTGGATCTTACAAAGGACTTCTTCTTCAGCTATTCATACCACATAATGAGGAGTCTACAAAAAAACATGTGTGATAATGAGACAGGGCAAGTCCCTTATGATACCATGTTTGTCTGGAATGAGTTTTTGACCCGTGGAATACGGAATATCATATGTAATACTTTCTGGACAGTGGCACTGGTCTATGGATTTTTCAAGCAGTCTAGCATTTCGATATCTGGGCGGTACTTCAAATTGGCACTTATTGCGAGGCGTTCCCGCCATTATGCTGGCATGAGATATTTGAAACGAGGAGTGAATGAAAAGGGAAGGGTAGCCAATGATGTCGAAACAGAACAAATTGTAGTTGAGGATGCTGTGGAAGGGTTTCCAATGCAAATTAGCTCTGTTGTCCAAAACCGTGGGTCAATTCCTCTCTTCTGGTCACAGGAAACTTCACGTCTAAATATTAAGCCTGATATAACACTGTCAAAGAGGGATCAAACTTACAAAGCAACCAGACTGCACTTTGAGAACCTTTCCAAGAGATATGGAAACCCCATAATTATATTGAATCTAATAAAGACGCATGAAAAAAAACCTCGGGAATCTGTTCTTCGTACCGAGTTTGCTAATGCTATAGAATCCATCAACAATGATTTATCAGAAGAACATCGCCTTAAGTTCCTTCACTGGGATTTGCACAAGCACTAACGGGGCAAAGCAACAAATGTCCTGTTTTTCCTTGGGAAAGTGGCTACTTATGCATTGACTTTGACTGGCTTCTTCTACTGCAATGCCGCACCATCCTTGAAATCTGAAGCATCTCCATGGCAGCCCCATCTTGAGAGTGTTGATGCAAGCTGTATGGTTCAACAAGGACATTTTAATACTGATATTGAGAAACTTGGTGATGATGAGAATGGCAACTCAGATAAAGCTGATGGGAATTCTAGTGGTAATCCTTCCACTAAGAAATCGTATATGCTACTCTTTTGTATTTCTTCTCGCACGTGTGTTTCTGAGGTATATAGTTAACTTTGTGCTAGGTTTTTTTATGTATTATTGTGCATTTTGTATTTAAATTGTATTCTAAAAGCTATAAAATGATGTTGCAGGACCATGTGGATTAAAGATGATGCACATAGACGAGGGTGTGCGGCATAAAGTTGCAGGATGGTACAGTCTTCATCAAGAAAGGTTTTGAGTAAAGTTGCAGGATGGACCATGAAGATCAGTTTTTGAGTTTAAGAATGACGAGGGTGTGCATCCCATCAAAGACACATGATGAACGTGTTTGCTCAAGTTCTTGAGTAATTATGACAATTGTAACTTTAGGCAATGTATTAATACGTTTACATGTGCACGAATTGTATTATTATAACTTATTATTATGTACTAAATTCTTATTTAAAGTTGTTTAGCATTTGTGCATGAATTAAAAAATTGTTTGTGTTAGTGTGCTCGGTTGATTCAGCAAAACAGGTGCATAATTGTTATAGTTGATGATACTATTAATTATTTGATTATAGAATAAATTGGGATTGTATTGCATTTTTTTAGATTTTACATCGGTTGTTATTATAGCTGATGTGAAATCTATTCACATGGGTTATAACCAATGTGAAATACCCTATTATGCAGCTAAATATGAAGGTTTTCAACATGGGTTATTTTAGAACTGATGTTGAAGAATCCACATCGGTTACAACCGATGTGGAAAACCATTTGAAGCGTCGTTTTGGACAATCTTCTAAATCGGGTATTGCTTGACCGATGTAGAAAGACTTTTCACATCGGTTATAGAACCGATGTGAAAAGTCTCTACTTTTCACATGGGCTGGAACCACATCGGTTATTTGACCGATGTGAAAAGTCTTTTTTGACCGATGTGAAAAGCCTTTTTTGTACTAGTGGGGGATGACATCGTCTTCACCCCAGAAATCATCAACGCCCTCTTTGGCGTAGTGGAGAATCCACAAGAAGAGGACACTGAAGGGTTCATTGCCCTAGACAGTGTCAAGGTCACAGTGGATGAGTTCATCCGGCTTTACTGCAGACCAGAAGTTGCTGAGGTTCCCAAGCTGAACATGAAGAAGAACCTTCTTCAGAGTCACTACGAGAAATTGGTCAACATTTTCCACCGGTGTGTCTGGAGCAAGAGCACCTCTACAGATGATATGACTCTTCAGAATGCAAAGGCTGTCTTTGCAGTTCATCATGGGATGAACACCAACTGTGGACAGGTAATTGCTAAATCCCTAATTGATTTCATCAAAAAGAAGGACAGGGAGACTGGACTGTTCAAAACCCCCATGGGTTATGGACTTCTGTTGTCTGAGTTGATGCTTCAAGCAAGGATTGGGCTGAGGAACACAATTGATGTTGACTACACCAAGCTACTCTTCCTCAACACCTCCAGTGACAGGAAGGTTGCTCTCAAGGCAGAGCAGAAAAGGCTGAGAACTCTTGAGTTCAACAAAGAAAAGCTAAAACAGAAGGTTGTTCAGCCAAAGAAAATTACCAAGAAGCAACAGAAACCCTCTACTTCTTCGGATTCTGAAGAAGTGCCTTTGATCAAGAAGGTGGTCAAGAAGGTCCCTAAGAAGAAGACCACTCCTGTCAAAGTCCACAAGCTAGTGGCAAAGAAGGCTGTAATCAAGAGAAAGCAGCCTTCCCCGTCACCAACAGACTCTACTCCTTCTGCTTCACGAGTTGCAAAGAAGATCAGGGTGATGACCCCTATCATTCAGGAGGAACTTGAAGACTCCATTCACTCTGCACAACCTTACAGAAACGCTTGGCAGGGCAAGCGGATTGTGTTTGAGTCAAGTGACTCAGAAGAGGAAGTAGTGGTGCAGGATGCCACTACTCAGGGGGAACCACACCTCTCTCCTCCTGTTTCTACAATTGATCAACCACTGGTGGTTCCTTCACCAAAACACCAAGAAGCTAGCAGAAACTCAAACTCTGCAGATAGGCAATTCATCAGGGTTCTTGCATGGAGGAAGTAGAGAGTGGGACCTCTCACTGAGCTGCTTAAGAATTTATCCTACTTCATCTCGGAGGAAGAAGAAGTACTCCGATGGGCTGACACAGAAGATGTGGAACAATGCCTGGACAAAAACTTCCTTCTTTCAGTCCTACAGAAAAAGAAGGAGAAACACCAAGGAAAAGCTCTTCTGTTCAAAGAATCACCAGAAGACCATGTGAAGGCTCTTCAAGAGCATGAAATGGATGATTTTGATGCTTGGCTGATTGAAAAGAAGAGGAAGGAATCTATGATCAAATTTCGACACAGTGAACATGGAGAAGGGGAACCCTCCACTGCAAATGATCTACCCTTGGTCATGGAGAAGCTTGTCAAAGAATGGAGGGAATCTTTGTTCACAGAAACCGTCCTAGAGGTAATCCCTACAACCATTCCTTCTCCCCCTCCCTCTCCTAAAATCACTTCACCTCAACCACAACAGAAATCCCCCTCACTCTCACAAAAAACCACCTCCAAACAGAACACTCCTCCTATTTCCCAACAGAAAACCCCTTCATCCAAAACCCAAAATCCTTCTCCCTGCAAACCCCAACCCTCAAACAGATCCAGAACACCATCACCTCCACATTCTCCTCCACAACAACAGAAAGCTCCCTCACGCCAACCTTCACATCAACAGGAAAACCCCTCTACCAAGAAATCCAGAACTCCAACCCCCTCTTCTCCAAAGTCTGCACCACAAGATGCAGCCATTCCTCTCTCCCCTCAACACTCTGTGGCTTCTACTCCCAGGAAGGAACCTATCTTCCAGATTCCTTCATCTACTAGTGATAATGATGGGTTCCTCACTTCCTCCATAGTTGCTGACCTCACTTCCAAGAGGAGGAAGACCCCTCCCCAGAATGAAGAACAACCCAGAAGGCCTCCTATGCCCAGGTCAACAGGTCTAGGTATGCCAGGATATGCAGAATCAAAAGAAGCTAAGCCCCAAATCTCCTTCAATCAGTTTGTCACTGCAGCTGAGGACTTTGGTGGTAAAGTGCTTGATGGCATGGATCAACTGGCTAAGATCAACACTAAGCACCATGAGCATCTCACCTTTGTACATAATCATCTTTAGGCTGGTCTTCAGCACATCTCAGAGAAGGTTGGAGCTCTGACTCAGACACTGGTCACCTTCATGAAATCATCCTCTGCAAAGATTAATGTTGTTGCCAGAAAAGTTGATGGTGTCAACTCTGTTCTCTACTCCCAATCTCAGACTCTCAACAAGCAGAATGAACAACTCAAGGATATAACAGAATCCCTTGACGTTGTACAATGGTATGAAGACCAATCGGATGAGAAGTTTATGGAGCTACAACTCTTACACAATGATCACAAAGATCAAGTTGCCAACCTGATCAAGAAGGATCAAGAGAGATATCAGAAGTTGATACTCCTCGAAGCTAGCTCTCAGGACATCAAGTCTGCCCTTGATCGTCAACAGAACCTGATAGAAGGTCTGACTTCTGTCACTCAAACCTTACCAGAGGCTCTTGAGCAGATTGCCATCTCCCAGGCAACAGAGTTTCAGAAGATTACTATGATGATCTCTGACCTGGATGATGCCAAAAGGGGGGAAAAGGACCCCAACAGAAGAAATTGCCTCCTAGGCCAACTACTGGACCCTCTTCTGGCATTGATCCTACCCCTTACTTCCAGGCCTCCCTACAGAAGAAGAGAGAAGCTGGCACTCCAAGACCTTCTTCTCCTCGCAGAGGTTCTACCAAGAAGAAGAAGCCCTTGAGCTTAACTGAATGGAGGCTTGGAGGCTCTCAAAGGATTGACAGAGCGCAGTTTGAAGAAATACAACAGAAGATGACCCCTACTCAAAGACAGAATCTCTATCTTGACAGAGACGGTCATATAAGGGTCAGACATGGAGGTTCCTTGGAAGAAGCTGAATATTGGTTTCACAAAAGAGTACTCCCAGGCAAGGATGTACATGAGGGAGTACTTCACTATTTGAATTGCAAGCTCTCTCCCATTTGGGCCTCTTGTCAAGCACCAGGAAATTTGGTTGGCATAAGAGAAGAAGTGAATGCTGAACTTAAGAGCCTAAAAGAACAAGATCGAAGAACCAGAGCTGAAGCTGAAAGGGAGAATCTGTAATTCCTTTTAAACTTCTCTTAAACTCTTGATCTAATAAAAGAATATCTCTGCTCCTTCTAAGGTCTCTTTACTTCTATACTCTTGGTTGCTTACTGTACTCTATTTTATTCTGATACTTGTTTCTATTTGAACTGCTATCTGAATGTACCGTACTCTTACTATTTTCCTATGCTAAGTTGCCCACCAAGATTTTAATGAAAAGTTTTTACTTTAAATCTTTTATGGTGAAGGCACTTCTCTGGAAATAGTTAAAGGGTTTTGGCATCATCAAAAAGGGGGAAATTGTAAGGAATAAATGTAATTAGATTTTGATGATGCTATAGGATTTTAGAAATTACCCCTTAGAAAATTTGTATTAGCATTTTCCTTGTAATTGTTCTAGTATAGTCGACTGACAGAAGACCTCCAGACAGAAGCCCTTTTGGCCCTCTGGTGATAGTGCCTTCACAGAAGTCCTCCTGACTCTCTGTTGGACTTCACTAAGGCAGAAGCACTTAGGTCCTCTGTTGGCCTCTAACAGAACAGAAGGACTGGAGACCCTCTGCTGACTTCCGTTTCAACAGAAGTGCTCATGACCTTCTCTGGTGTACACTCTGATAAAGAGACCAGAAGGCCTGACACTTAGAGAAATTCAAGTTTACTTCCAAGCCGGCGAAATCAACGGAAGATTCTCCAACGGCTAGAAGACTTCAACGGAAAAGCTACAGTACGCGCATTAAATGCTCATTTAATGCGGATACGTACGAGAAGATATTTAAAGCAAATAATTGACCTCCTTTTGGAAAGAATCTTCTCAAAATAGCAAGTCGCCGAATTCAGAGGGTCCAACCGGTCAAGTCAACAACACGCGCATTAAATGCAGTTGTCCTCCTTCACCTCCAACGGGAAGACAACCCTAAGTATAAAAGATACTCTTCGAAGAACAAAGGAACAACTTCAAGGCAAAAAGGTCATCTTGAGATTCAAACTCTTCATCCTCAACAAGAGAGACACAAGTTGGAAAGAATATACCTTCATATCATCAAATCCAACAAGAGCAAGGTTCCAACAGTTCTTCAACAACTTCAAGCACTTCATCTACAAATCTTTTGTAACGAAGCAAGTTGGAGGAACCCCTGTTTCAACAGAAACTCTTCTTGTTACAAGAAGGACGTCCAAGTAACTGGAGTAGTGAAGTGGTGATACTTCCGGGAAGCTCAGTGAAAGGACCAGTCTTAAAGGAAGCCAGGCAGTGCATCCCAGGAGACATCTAGGCTTGAAGAAGACGTGGAGAGATTCTTAAGTGCTAGGACTAAGGCGTTGTAAACGGTCGTTTTTACAAGCTTAGTGGAACAGTGGATTAGAGGAACGAGTTGTTCCTT